CCCCCTGCCTCTGCTTGCCCTGGTAGCTGCGTCGGTGCTGGAGGTGTTGGGATACCACGCTGGGGCTCGAGGTTGTCCACTCCCGGGACCAGCAGTGACTCCAGGTGAGCCCTCAGGGACCACAACAGGGGCAGAGATGCCCCAGCCACCTTCATATCAGCAGTGAAAAAGTGCTTGTGCAGCTATCTCTGCTGCTTTTGCCCGTTTCGACAGCAGGATGGTCTGGCTCTGGACACCCTGTGTTTGGAGACATCACTCAGAGGTGAGGTTCTCCTGGCTCCTCTCAGAGACAGGGAACCCCACGGGGAATGCCAGGGAGCGAAGCAGGACCACAGGGAGGGCAAGGGCTCATCTCACTGCTATCAGCACGGGCAGAGCCCAGGGGGCTTCGGATGGGAGCATGGGCCTGGGACTCATGCTGGAACATACGCTTATTCACTTCAAAACAGTTAAGTCATATGTACGCTTTACTATTTAACAAAGAATCTCAGCAGCTTTTACGTTGGCTTGTAACCTTACCTCCCCGTGAAACTCTATCACCTCCTCCCTTTCCCCTCCCAGACCTTTTTCTCCTCTTATTTTCAGATAAGAAAGTGAAAGAATGAAAGAAAAAAAGCAATGAGAAACATGAAATGTGGGAGAGTGGTGGGAGGAAAGGGGTTTTCTTGCTGCTCACTCACAAATGTTCAGCTGAGCAGGGAAAAAAATCTTCACTGAAATTCGGGAAGATTTCACATACTGATTTACAAGTGCTGACAAGACAGCCCTGCACACTTCATTTACACATTGATGAGGAAGAAGTTAAAACTACAAATCAGCTGCAAAAATAAAATTGTTCAGAATATTAATTCCAAAAATCTGAATAAGCCTGGAGATGGTATACATATGTCCTGCTAGTTTCAGAAAAATAGTGGTTTGGTGTTTTATTTGTACTGGGAATGATATAAATAGAAAATCAGCGAATTATCAGTTTCTTGATTTTTGTTTGGGTTTTGCTCCCTTTATCTTTTTGCTGGCAGTGGCAGCGCACAGGGAAGGAAAATTTGATGCAAAGTGAAAGACTGACAAAAAGGGCTTTTTCATTCACTTGCCCTTTCCCACTTTGCCACAATGTCTAGATAATCCGAGTACAAAGACTGCTTGATTGTAGCCTCTTGTAAAATGTGACATGTGTTACATGCACGCATCTTTTCAAGCCAAGTCCCTGAAAGTTGTCTGTTCCTGGCTCAAAGAAACCAGCACCATGAGGAGGTGGCTAAATGTGAGAGAATACATGTATGTATGTACGTGCTTAAAGTGATTTCAGCTAACTCAGGGGTTTCATAGACAATAAATATAACCTCCATTCAGCATCAGCCTTTGTGTCAAAGAATGGATTCTAGAACCTAACCTCCTTCAGCATCACAGAGTAGGCTTTTAATATCCAAAAGTCTCATCTCCCTGCATGTCAGCATCTGGAGCTGTGGAAGGCTGGAGTTATTCAGCCAGCTCTGAGATCACCAAACAAAATCTGGAGCTGTTTTACACTAAATTCTCTAGAGACG